CTGCATGATCTCTTGGATAATATTAGAGTCTACAATCATTAGGTGAAAGAATTAGAGATATTTTAATATTCAAAGCACACAAATGCCTTATATTGGAACAACCTCTGATACTCAAGATCAAAGGATATACTCCAGACCATCACCTCCCTCCCATTCCTTTTTAATAATGAAAAATGTCTTGCATATAACCCAAAGAGGGTCAACAGGAAAGACTACCACAAAAATCTAATACCATAATTTAATTTTGTCAATACAAATCTTTCAGAGAGGAATTTGGTTGACATATCCTGATTTCATCAAAATTTACAATCATCAAATATGTATAGCGCATTATTGAGTGTGAAAATACCTAAAAAATACTTTTGTGTTTATCAAATGACATTTGCCCTGTTTTTATGTTTGATTTCGTGCATAATGCAGAATGCCGCACTGAACGTAAAATGATCTATTCACAATTAACATTTCACACACTGTGAAACTGTTCATATTCCCCCATGATTTCTATTAAAATTTAATTTCAATAGTTACAGCATTAGAGTGTAATAAAGATACAAAGTTATTGTTTTATACATGAAATTGTACACATGGGAAAATGGTAAATAACTCAATCTGTCACTCATTTAAGATTGTTAATTTATTTCATAAAAGGAGCTGACCATTAAAAACAAAGGGCTTGAATGAAAATCTTTATTTTTGAGCTTAATTTTTATTTTCAGGATGTTGATGTTCCACTAATAAAAGAAACTAAGATCTTATTTTTTTATCGGTACCTATTTTTTTTATTTGTCCCTGTCCATGTACGTTTTATTATTACTGACCCCCTTAAGTTCTTAATGGTCAACCCCTTAAATGTTTTTTTTTTAATATTCCAGTTATTTAACCAGTTTAAGTCAAGCACCTTTTTTATACAAGAACAGATGGATGAATGCCTACACTGCTGTTATATTGAATGAATATGACAGACAATACGACTACAAATATTCATAAATAATAGACTGGGGTGATTGGAGTTCACTTGACAGAAAATAAAACAGTTATTTTCAACTAAACATTTTTGAAATTGTGGTGGCCACAACACTAAATTTTCAAATGAATTATCAGACAAAAATTTTGAAAAAAAAAATAAAATTATAAAATAAAATATTAAATTTACTAATATAAATAATAAAATCAATAAAATTTTATGATATGACACCTTTATTATTTTTCTACAGTTTAAGGTGATGTATTCTTCAAAGGCTCGATTAGTCATGTAACCTGATATATGGTATTTCAGGAAGGACCATCTGTCGCAACAATCTCAATCCACACTTAACCCAATCCATGCAGTCCTGGATCCTTGTTGTGTAAAAAGAAGGTATTAAAAACTGTCAGCCCCCCACGCCCACCCCCACCCCCCCACCCCCAAAAAAGCAACTACCGATATGGTACTTTATTTAAGCTGGAAATGTGAATGAAAAAATTAATCTTGGGGGAATATTTTATAACTCTTAGGAAATATCTTATTATTAACACCCTTGCAAGAGTAGTTTATGTTTATGGATCTATATCTTGTATATCGGTAGTTGTAAACTATATACATAACATAATACTGGGTATCACAAATGTAAATTAAAAACAATTTGGCAATAGACAATGTACAGTAAGGTTCACATAATTCCTTAATTACAATTACTAATTAAAACAAGTTAAATTAATTCTATTTAGCTGTCAATTAAATCTGATGTGACTAGATATGATGCGTCTTGCAACAAACGAGTTAAAATTCTTAATTTTGTATAGGATAAAGTATGCCCTAAACAGAAAGAAGAAAAATTCTTCTTTCATAAGCCATTACTTTCCACCTAATTTATATGCCGTAAATTGCAGTATCACTAACATTTTAGTATTCTGAAATAGGTAAAATGATATAAAACTAGACAGATGACATCTCTTTTATTTATATGTAGATCCAGTCTGGTAGACAGTGCCAATTGGCTTGCTTCCCTGTTTACATAGTTGTTGCTCTTGGTCAGCAGTATCTTAACAACACCAAAGAGAGAAAAAACTCCTTCATTCTTTTTAGAGAAAAGCAAACTGAATGTAAGGGATAATTTGCAGCTTTTTTCTATTGAAAGGGGGACAAAACCACCCCTCAATTTCATGCATTCGAATGTAATTACGCGCGCAAATTGCTGGGGAAATTACAAAGATGAAAAGACACCACTGTCTCAAACCCAACAAACCAAACTATTAGCGAGGTGGCGACCAACGTTTTCTCATAGAGCCGACGACGCCGTCATG